ATTATGTGTCAGGAACTCTTTGTTTTAATTCTGAATATGCCATTAACTAGTTCTGTCATGTTTAACCTTGCTTTTCCCTCTATTTTTTTTCTCAGCTGCAAAACAAATCCAGATCATGTTTAGATTCCCCCAACCCTAAAACTTGTATGATTTATTATCTTTTAATGAGGACTTATAAGAACATAGTGTGCATTCCCAATGAGGGTTGGTGAGGGTAGCTATATAAATTCTGCATGGATCTAGACCCCTTTCTCTAAAGGGTCCAGAGAGCCTGCCCTCTTTCATCTCTCTCTATTTGTATAGCATGATCTATCATTTATCGGCCATGTCCTTCCACCAGGAACTGTACTGGATGCTGCATACATTTCCTCGTCCTTAAAATACCAACATGCCAGTAAAAACCAACTCTCGATCCCAAACTTAAATTAAACAATGGCACTTACCATCGAGGCCATAAGCTGGCTCTTACTCAAACGTACACTCAGAGAAAGAGCAAAATGTCTTACTTTACCCAAGGGCGTAATGAATTTCAACTTCCAGTTAGAGTCTTCAGGCAGACAGAGTAAAGCCAAGGGAAATGGTTTGGTGGACGCAGGAGTTCTGAGGGGCAGAACTGGAGCTAGCGCCAGGAAAGACAAGGAAGTGACTGAGGACACCTGAGTCGTGCAGTGCGTGTGGGTTGGGGAGTCTTTGGGGCCACAGAGAGAAGCGTTTTCCTCCACTAACGGCCCAAAGGGAAGATCAGGGACTCATAAGCAGCAAGCAATGAAAGGAAGGAAAGAAGCAAAATGCATGTATTGAGTGTCCATAATGAGCAGACATTGTATCTCGTGCATCTCATTTCATTCCTACTTTATTAAGTAACAGGTAGATTAGATTTGGTGGAACATCCATCCCAGGCTAGGTATGGGACTTACTGGAAGAACAGAACCAAGGACATGAACATCTAGCCTCATGCATATTTTAATAAAGCCCAGGGGTTGCCATTACTACTCCTTCAAAATTTCTCATAACCAATTAACTTTGTTTCCATATATTTTACTGGTTTCCAACCTTTGCCAAACATTAGGATCTCGAATGCTTTGAAAAAATTGCTGGTGTCTGTGCTCCATCTCATCCCAGTCAAATAAAGGGAGTGGAGAACAGACAAATGGAAAAAATAAATGATCTCCCTAGGTTATTTTAATATGTACTTGAGAACTATTGCTGTATTCACTTACAAAGCTAAAATGAATTTGTACACTTTTTGCAAAGATCACATCTAAGAAAGGAGCTAGGAAACTGAAACCCAGTTCTGAATCTGGTCCAAGGAAAAGATGAGACTTTGGTTTTGTTAATATCAGCTCTAATAGACTCACTGAAAGCTGCCTGGAAAGAGCTAAGGAATAACAAATTCTAGAAAGAGTTTACTTCTTCTCCCTTCCCATAGCTTGAACTGCAAAAAAGCCCTAGTTACCACAGGCCATCACAGACATCCCATATCACCTGGGGCAGGGGTTGTCCAATTATATCCACAAGCCAAAAGTCAGCAGTGCCTCTGGGCCACAGGCTGCTGACAACTGCATTACAGAAACATGAGAAACCAGGAATGTCTTATGAGTAACTCACTGCATGGATTTTCCATGAGTTACAATTCCGTAAAAGTAAGTCACTGAAAAACATTAAAAAAATCAGAGTGATCTAACTGATTCAAACATGAATGTAAAGACCAATCCTTTATCTTGGTATTGAAGATGGAGAAATAAAGGCCCACACAGAGTCATAAAAGACTGAACATAGTTGAAAATCAAATCTAACTGCTGGCGGAAGGCTGAAAACGCAGTAGACCTTCAATACTTTTAAATGATTGATGAATTGACTGAGATTTATTTTGAGATTCGATTAGTTTTTAGTAAAGTGTAAGTATTTTCTTATTCTCCTTTCACTTCTAC